TCTGTGGCATCCACAACTCCCAGATCAGAACCACCTGAGCACCAGCTGCTCTTGTTTAAGCTCTATACACAGCAGCTGAAATTAATGTGAAATTCTTCTTTCTAAAGTTATATATGTTAACATTAATTTCATTCTAAAATTACTCTGAACTTTAGCAACAAATAGAGTTGGATATGGAGTGGGAGACGCCAGAGAAGCTATGTAAAAAATCAGGTACCATATATAATTTCTAGAAATGAGAAGCAGGTGTCTATGATAAAGCTCTAAAAAGAGAGTTTGGAGTTTAAGAATGAAAAAAAATCATTGTTTGTTTAGAACATTTAAGGCAATTCTTCCTAAAAAAACATGGTATCCCAGCAGAGACTTATTTGGTTTTTTCCTTATCAGAGACAAGGCATGGATTTAAAATTAATTTTTATCCTTCACTAGGAGCTTAATGTGTTCTCAGTAAAAGTACTTGAGGGGAACCCCACTGTAGTGGTGTTCTGGTTATTATGCAGGTGGGTTTTGGATGGGAAACATTCTATGTGGAAATCGGTGCAAAGCTGATGGTGTATTGTAAATAGATGACTCTTCTGACAGGGGCTTTTCCTTTCACACACTTAGCAATGCTAAAGAATAAGCTTCTTTACACAGAGTGGATACAGGTAGACAATCTGAATAGATGTTCTGTAAGATTGTTTCTTAAGTTATTTCAAATGAAATATTTCCAGTTATCTCTGGATAATCAGATAATTGATAATCAGGAAAACATCTAGAGTTCTTAAGCACAAATTCCTTCATGAGTGGAATAGTCTCAGATATTATATTGGTAGTCTCTTGACATCCCAGGGGTTGATGTATAGAAGGATCTGTGTCGGTTAATTTTTAGCAGCATAGATAAGGAACACTGGAGGCACCACAGGTCTTTGTGCTTTTCAGCAATTTCACAGTGAACCACAGTATCACTTCTCTGTTCAAAAACCTGGGGTTGTTGAGCCATGTTTTCAAATAATAATGGCTGAGTTTGTGTGCTAGTGTGATCAGGGAGTTTAATATTTAGTCTCATAGTTGTCTGTGGTGTGCCCTTGAAGCTGTGTCACTGAGACAGATACCTGCATGTGGGAATTGGAAGTGCTCCCCAGGAACTGCAATGCCTTGTGCTGACAAGTCCTTGGTGAATGTGGACTCTCACTGCTTTTTTCATCAAGGTGGCTGCTGGGGAACCAGGTCCTGCATCAGCTGTTCCAAAGAACAAATCCTAATTTATTTTAAATGTATTTAGTATGTAACATGTGAACAGGGGTGTTTCAATGTTGATGTATATATTGGAAAATAGGAAATGTCTTGTAAGTTCAGTGCATAAAATGACATTTTTTACATATAATTCCACAGAACTTATTAATGTTATTGTAGTATACAGTAAATTAGACATGGAGCAATATATATAGTTTGCTCTGTGAGAGGGTTAAAGGTGTGTCTGGCTGAGGCTAGACCTATTTTCTATCACTTTGCTCTTGTGTTGTCATTTGTATCAATGTAAGTAGGTGGAAACTGTGGCTGATTCTGGGAGGTGGCAATAATTTGAAAAAATACCTCTATTTGAGGGAAAGGGGTGGTGGTATGTGTTTCACTGTTTGGGTGTTTTGTGGTGTTTTTTTGGTTTTGGTTTGGTTATGTTGGCTTTTTTTTCTTTTTTTAAACAGAAGACCATTCAGAGTTGCTTTATCAAAACTTTTTTGAAAACTTCAAAACAAATGCTGAAGTAATATGGGAAAAGGACATTTCAATGAACAGTTATTAAAACTTGTTTAAAAACGGTCTTTTTAATTCCTCCTTGAAAGCATCCTCAGTTTTGTTTGACATGGACCAAAGACTCCCACATCCTGTTGTGGAAATATCCCTAATGATATGCTAGTTCTCAAGGATATATCAGAGTGCTGCAGCTAACACCTGATAACACTGCTCACTCCAGTGCTGACACACTTTGCCTGATAGGTGCAAAATCTCTCCTGAAACAGATCTAAGGCAAGAAGTCAGGCTCTGCATTCACTTGCAGGACCATGCAGCAAGCAGCAAAAGAATTGGTTCTCACTGAGTCAGGAGGCCAGGCTGCATGTCTGATCTTTGGATCTCTTTTCCCCCATTTTCTTCATGCAGGAAATGGAAGTGTTACTTTTCTTACAAGAACTTAGCAATTTTCTTTTATTTTAGAGTATAATAGTTAAGCTTTGTGGCAAGGTTTTCTCTCTTTTTCCTCTTTTTGTTTTCTTCTCCCCAGGACTGAAATTAAAGCATAGCTCCTATGTTTAAGACATTAACAAAGATTAGGGGGGTTATTATGAATATCTCTGCGCTGAGACTTATTCTTCCTTAAATTTATTTTATCAAAATTATTGTGCATCTGACAAAGAACTGTGGGGTGCACACACTTGTGGAGATTGCTGGAAATAGCTCCCTTTCCTTGCTTTAACTTGTTTGTAGAGTTTCTGCAGGAGAAGAGCTGCAAGGACTTTGTTTTTTACCAAGTACAGCATATAGCTAACTTCTTGCACCAGGTCCAGGAGGCTGCTCTGCTGCCTTCTCTCTTTGCTCAGCTGGCCTCCTGCCTAATCTTCCTGCTGTAACTGGGATGTTTGTAGTTACTTTCCCTCTCAGTAGCAGCTAGTGTTGAATTGTGTGGTCAGAAAGACACAGACAAGATTGTTTGTAGGCCTCTTAAATTAAACCAGCTGCAAAAAGGAGACGGTCCCTGAAGTACACAAGCTATTCTCCAGGCTAAGATCAATAATCTTGTAGTTTGAAGAATGCTAACTAAGCTTCAAAGATTGTTTTGTCCCTGACATCTCCTCATATAATCCTGTATTTATTAATTACGTTTTAAGTCTAGGAGGGCCTAACTGATTATTGACCCTGTCTCCTGTTCAAGGGCCCATTATATTTCACTCACTCAGTTGTCACATAGGGCAGTGATTGATATGTGGCCAAAGCAGAGAGTCCAGAGAGGTCTTTGGTTTTGATAATGACCATGGCTGTTACTACTTGTAAAGTGCTCTTGTTTAAGTACTCAAGTGAAGCAGGATGCCTCTGTTAAAGTGATCAGACCAAATCTCCTGCTATAAGCACTTTAAAGCATTGAAAATAGTAGTTGCAAGGGATCACTTGTGGTTTCTCATGCAACTTCTGCCTCAACTTCAAATCTAGATCATGTTGCTCAGGGTCCTTTTTAGTTGAACTTGACCTATCTCAGTGTACTCATTCTGAATCCTCCTGTGCTGTGAAGTACAAAATCTCATGGGAAAATTTTTAATTGGATCCTTTAAAAATCCCAAGCATATCACATCCACACAGTTGTTATTATGAACCTAATCTGTCAAATAATGAAAATCTACTGATGGCATTAATTGTTTTTGTTCAGTAAATCATTGTCATAAACTCTTTCATCTAAGAGCCTCAAAATTGACTGAAGCATTGATGTGAACTTTTGTGTGAAATTTGCCATCAGTTGATCCAGTCGAGCCTGCATTATGGCTGAGGTCTCCTTTGCTGCCTCAGTTGTGAACCTTTGTGCCTCTGGTTCATGCCTGGAAATGAAAATGTGTAAATACATTACACTTAGGCTGCTTGCAGCAGAGTCAGATCCAGACATTTCTGAAACACCAGTGCAGTGCAGGCTGTGTGCTGCTCCTGGGAGTAGCACATAGCAGCTGCTTCATCACCAGTGGTTTGAGGCAAATAGAGCAAGATATGGGAGCAAACAGTGAACCAAAGTAATTGCACTTCTCTAGGTGTCATGGAAGTCTAATAACAGCTTGGAGTAAAATCTCTGTGTATGAGGATTCATCAGAATAGCCTTTGTACAAAACTTAATAGGGTCCTCTCCATCTCCTCTTTTTCTGTTGAAAGATGGGTTAGGCAGCCTATGCAAAGCTTTAAATCTCTGTTTCAGTCCTTGGTCTCTGAGGCAGATTTTGTATTGTCATGTATAACATGACAAAATATGCCTTTTATGACAGATCTCAGAAAGAACCACTGTAGTTTTTCTAGCCAGCAAGAAAAAAAGAAAAAATAATTTCAAGAGTTTTCAACTTTTACTCTTGTTAATGATCAGCTTGCCACAGGAACTCTAAATGATGGGTTGGTGCTACAGCTAAGCTGACATAACAGCTATGGCTGCTAAGTCAGCTCCCCTCCCTTTCCTGTCCTTGGTGCTGTTAGTGCTTCTCAGACACTAGAGTGAGCCAGCGAGCTCAAACAAAAAGTTGGGTTGGGTTTTTTTTTGTTGTTGTTGGGTTTTTTGTCTGTGGCTTTACTCTTAATTGTGAACTGCCAGGACTTTACTTTCACGGTCATTTTGGATTGATGAAAGTGTCCTGTGTAAAGTGAAGTTGTCAACTTCAGCTCATCCCTGCTTGTGCTCCTGCTAGATCTCATGGCCCCTGAGTTGAGAGGCAGATCTGGGTTCTGATCTGGAGGAAAATCATCTCCCCATTCCACTCTCTAATTTTTCTTCAGGTTAGTTTAGGGATGCTTTCTTTATATGGCTGATTACGTAACTATGCAAATACTAGGAGGAGGGGACAGCACCTCCTCCTTTAGCTGGTAATTTCCACTTGTTTTGACTGAGACATAACATGGAAAGACTACTTCAGATATGCCCTTGTAAAACTGTACGTGTTTTGCTAACACTAAATAATTTAATCTCTATTTCCATTGAAGGTAGATGAGTGAAGAATACAGCCTGATGGAAAGAAAATATATAGGATGTGAAGAGAGTGAAGTATGGATAAAACATAATATAGTCCTCTTCAGAAGCCTTTGTTCTTTCAAAGAAATGTAGATTGTCATCAATAAGGAAAACACGATCTCTAAAACATTCCTGCTTTTTATGTTAGTTACTTTTTTTCCAGGGGAGGACGAATTTAGGATGGCACATCAAGGTGCAAATAAACTATCATGAGTTTAATATCCCATTTACAAAATGCATCCTTCTGACTTTGTTTTCTTTCTTCTGCCCACAGCACCCAGCCAGACTGGTAGGATCAGCACCCTGCCAATAGCCACCTCATTCTCATAAACACTCAAAGCCCCAAAAAGAAATGGACCAAATATTTCCTATGGTAAGTGTAAAAACCCCAGCCCTTGTTGGCTCCTTTCAGCTGAATTTTGCTCTATAATTACTAAATTGAGTGTATGAAATTAAAGCTGTGTTTTTCAGCAGCTTTTTCCATTGGCCTTACCAGTACTGCACGTAGCCATTTCTACAGTTATTGTTATTGTACTGCCATCATCACCAGAGAAAAGAGTTGTAGTGCAAAAAGACTTTATAGCATGCACATGGCTAAAGAGGAATCCTGTGGCACAGCAGATAATTTACCACAGTACTCTGCAACATCTCCCCTACCATATCCAGTCCCCCTCAGCTTTTCAGTTTCTAATATCCTTTTTAAAAAATTTATTTTCTTGTGGGAGCACTGGCTCATGACCCTCCAAAGCTGCAAGGTTAGAGCTTCTTTCTTGAAAAGCTGATGGCAGAGCAGTTGTCATGAGCTATGATACATGCAGTTGGGAAGACATTTTGGGGCATCACAAACATAAGAAGAAAGGCCAGTTCATATTATCAGGTGACTTGTGAGTGCAGCACAAAGATTATCGACATGATTTGGTTTTAAAAATTATTTCGTTTCTTGTGCTTTGCTGTAAAAATCTATCTGCTGACACAGTGGGAAAGTTATTACAGACTGTTGCAGGATGGATAGCTAAATATTAGTCTGGTGGTCAAGGAAAGCTGCAAAAGCAATTGTCCATGAGCTCACCTTACTCTTCCTTCTGACAGCTGGGAAATAAGTTTCTAGTAAAAATATGGAGGGTGGTTACCTCCTCTATATCTCTTTCCCTATTTCCTTTCTCCATGGGAATAATATGACAGTTCTGTTCCTGAGTTAGGTTTTTGAGCTTTTATTGTTTTTTTAGGTTGCAGACCATCTTTGTTGAGTCCTGGGGTGGGCAGTTTGTGTTATATTTCCATCCTGAAGGTATTGGCACTGTTTCCATAGCAGTTACAGGAAAATAGGAGAGACAGCGTCTTATATGTTCTGAGCTCCCTTAGAATTCTGTTAACAGAACTGAATTTAGAAGCAGCGTGAAATCTATGCAATATCATTCCCTGATGGCTTTAGAAAGGGTGCTTGATTCATTTGTTTGTCAGCAAAGCCATGCCATGCCAGCTCTGACTTCAGGCATGGAGAACACCACACTGCATTTTTCACTGTTGCAGACAATGAGGTCCATTCTGGTTCTCACTGGTCTCTCTTGAACCTCAGGTCTTCATAAGCCACTAAGTGGCACAACGAACTGCTGAGGCAGTCTCAGAAGCATCATGCACCTGCATTCAGCTCATTTATGGTTGGCACTGCTTGACTTCAGGTTTGTGACTGGTCCCACTCCTGCTTTGAGTTTCTAGGAATTGCTGCATCAAAAATAGTTGTTAGTGAAAGTAAAAGTATTAGGAAAAAAATATGTGAGCAGGTCAGGAGCTTGAAATTCATCTGCAGCTGCTGCAATATGTTCCTCACTTTCTGCTTCTCTCAGTCCTTATTTGCTCAAACTCTTTCAGCACTAAAATGCCGCCCAGCTTTAAAACACTGGTGTAAAGGCCCAAGGATAAAATACAAATGCCTAAAGTTCAGGGTGATAGGGAACCTAGGACCTAGTGGATGCAGGAGTGCTGGCATGCCACACCTAATTAGAGGCTCAGGGACAGATTTAAAGCCCACAAGCAGCTGTTTAGGTTCTCTCTCCTAGAGGGAGATAGGGACACTAGTTGAAGTTGGACACTAAATATTTTGTGAAATCCAAGCCATGCCTTGGTGTTTGGATAATCCGAAAATTCAAGTCCCATTGATTCTGAGTAGTGGAGAATATCATGTGTCACTTGGGTGTTCTGGAAAATGGTTCCTGTAGACTCTTAATTTCAGGCACTCATGTCTAAAAATCTTGAGCTGGAGTTGCTAAAAGTTATTCTTTAGGTCCAGTTCACAGCTCGATGACCATTTAAAATAAAACAGATTTTTAAGTGACTTTTATGAGATAAGAGTTTTAGATACAAGTTTGTTACATTGTTCAGTTATTTCAAGAACAACAGCAAATCATGGTGTTTTCTCCTGTTTTGTTCTTCTTCTCCCCCAGCAGTTAGTCCCCTCTGCCTTCATTGCCCATATGTAAATGGGTGCAGAAACTTCCAGATGAAAGTCTAGGACATAAATGTATCCCTAGTGACTGAGTTTTGTTTTCCTCTGTGAAGTCCGTACAATGGGAGGTGGCTTCTTATCACTGAGTAAGATCGCTGAATGATTTAATGGGGGGTTAAATGAAAAGTAAGAGTTTTCATACTGGTGTGATGTAAATTCTGTGTCCAGTTAAAGCCTCAAAGCATTTTTTAAAAGCTGTGTAAAAGGTGAATAATTTCTGTAAACAGCCTTTAAAGTGAAAACCCAACACCTTTGCTGTGGGAGAAGTAATACAATCTCAAATAGCTCTGCAAACACACAGTCCCTCACCTTCTTCGAGCTGCTCTCTTTTTTTTTTTTTTTTCAGCAGCTCAGCATGGGGTGCCAGAAAAATCATTAACGGGCCCATCTTGCACCTCTGGCTTTTCCACACCTGCTTATCATGATCTCTGCTGTAACTTTATGGACCGTGAGGAGGCAGGTTTGACGCCATGAAAGACAGGCTCAGCCAACAGCTGCAGGATGGGCAAAAAGCCAGACAGTAAAATGTAAAGAGGAGGAAGGAGAGGGATCACCTTTGAAGTTTACCAAAAAAACAAAAGCATGACTTTGACCACTTCCTTTTTTAATTAGCTGTCTCAGGTACATTGAGCCACCAGTTTCAATGGATACTGGCAGGGCATTGAAGGTAATACTGTAAGTGTTTCAGCAGAACTGTTACTTGTTAAACTTTTCTCTCTCTCTCTCTCTCTCTCTTTTTTTTTTTTTGTTTGTTTGGGGTTGGTTTGTATTTCTGTTTTGTTTTGTTCTATGCTCTTAAGTTAAACATCCTAGCACAATGCCAGGGAAAAGAGTTAATTTCACTTGAGAATGCCTAAACTACAGCCAAAATCTGTATCTTTTGCAAGTGTGAAAAACAACATTAAAGCTGTGTTGAAGGGTACTTGGATCCCACACTAGCCAGGAAATTGATGATTATCACTTTCATAGCAACCAGGACATACCCCCAGCACACACAGGTTGAATTTTTTTATTATATGTATATAGTGTTAACTTTTGCTCAATATCCATGCTAGTACCAGGAGATTGCTTTTGATTTGTACTATTGTAGCTGAAAGCCGAATTGGAGGGATCCTGTAAAGGAATAGCAGTTGCTGCAGGAACCAAACTTTCCTGTGCCCCCAAGAGGCCAAAAGTTTACTTTGAACTAGTACGTCCCTACTCCTGTCTATGCATGTTAAAGTGTGTTCAGGGAGAAAATGCAAACTGCTGTTGTTATCCAATAGGAACTCTATGCACTTAATTTACAAGGCTTAAAAGCAAGTATTTTGATATTTCTATGTTTATATGTTAGGGTCAGATCCAAAGATAAAACTAATAATTCAGAACTGGATGAACTATCTACCAGGCAGAGAATTTCTGTGGGGTGATGAAAGGATGATACAATCAAATCCTGAACAAGTTCAGTGAGTATTGCTCAAGCCTCAGAAAATTAATTTGGGAATTTACTGGTCATACAAAAAATCCTTCACACTGAATGGGGGAAAAAAATCTAATTATCTACTAGAATTACCTACTGTCCTGCTGTAAAGTGCAGAGTGATCTCACAGTAAAGTCCAAACATGTAATATCAATGACATAAAATTTCATTATGCTTGTAATTGCAGTAGTCTTGAGTCTGTTCTCTGCTTGAAAGGAAAAAAAAAATAACATTGGATATTATTAAAAATCCACCAAATTCAGGTAGAAATTTAGCTTTATACAGGAGTTGAATGTGGTCCAGTGTGTCTGTGTGTTTTAAAAGCTACAAAGAAGGGGAAAAGGGGACACCAAACATAATTGTGTTATACGCAGGTCATTTGTATAATTTAAAGAAAAATTGTTGGAACATGAAGTAGTTATTCTCATGTGATTTTTCTGTACAATATTTTAAAGCAAAAAATTAAAAAGAATGCTTAATGTTGATAAACTGTAGTTGAAACACATAATTTGATATATCATAGGTAAAGAAAATAACTTATGTAAATTAGTTTATTATTTAATTTATTTCTATATAATCTCTTTTTAGTAATCTAGTAGATACTCTGGTACAATAAATCAGTCTGTCATTCCTTTATGGGATTTTTTTCCATCTCTGGACATAAGAATTAACAGAAAAGCATACTAGGGAGCATGCAGATTGATGGTTCTCTTTAGCAGAAATCACTCCCAGTTTAGGAGTGTTGATTTAATTTTCTAAGATCAGGTAATGTAGATAGACTTTATAGTGTTTTCAGAAGTAAATTCTATAGACTAATGGCCTTAAAAAGTCTGTCTACAGTTTATGGCTTGTTGCACTTTCTACTTAGTTAAACATAAGACTTTTTTTCCCCCAATGTATTACAACAAAATATGAACAGATAACAGCTTTTTGTGGAGGATGGTAAATACAGGTGAATCAACAGGATAGCTCATAAATGTTTTGGTTTATTTCTATGAGATTCTTGTTAAATCCTGTACATTTTTTTAAGGGATCTGGGAAAATTCTGTTGACTGCAAAAGTTTTAGGGTTATTAGGTTATTGGAACTGCAGAACTGGAAGGTTCTTTTCTTTCAAAGAAAAGGTAATCTAAACCACTCGTCTTCCCAGTGCAACCTCAGATAATACTCACTCATCATTAATAGATGCTTATATAACTTTTTATCAGGGACCTTCTTTCCCTGTCAAATGTGGTCCAGATTCCCTGTCTCCTTACCTTTAAAATATATTTCTCAACCTGGAACCTTAACCTTCTTCCTGCAACTAGAGCCATTGCCCTTTTTTAAAATTATTTTAAAATTCTTTTTCCCCAATAACTAAATATGTACCAAAAAACCCCTAGCAAGTCCTTTACACAGGTTTGCCGATCATA